AGTCTTTTCCCAATAAATACACAGGATGGTAGCAGCCATTCATGACATCAACCTGCACAATCAACTTAATATCTCTAAAGAGTCAGACGTGGTGGCTCACAGGACAACTAGCACCCAAGGGGACAACGGCACATTCAAATAGGACTCTTTGTTGGTATTTCTGTCTTCCTGAAACTACTTCCATAGCTTATTGAACTGATGCCACATGTACCAATTTGAAACACTAATCCCCCCAAAGACATGCATTGGGAGATCACAGTTCAAAGCAGAACAAAGGAAAAAAGTGGCACCTTCATTAGGAAATAGAGCATACAGCAAAAAAAAGGCAAAACTGCGTATTTTGGAGCTAAAAAAAAAGACAAAAGTGCAGAAAGAAAGGGATGAGAATAAATATAGAATAATACAAGATATGAATGAAAGGAGGCCTCAAATTCATCTCTGTGCAACTAATTTCTGGAAAATAAAATAAAGTGCCAAAACATCTCCCATATGGGAATTAAGAATAGTCTGAAAAGTTTACTTATCAGATAAGAAAGGATTAGACATTTCTGTCTATCAGAAGGAGGGAGAAGGGAGTGGAAAACAAGAAAAGATAAAGGCCATAAAATTATCATTTTGAGACTCATATAAGTAGGACTTAGATGAAAGCGCAGGGGAACACTTTCACTTTCAGACCATGTGGGGATTCTGTCAGTGAGGTGGCTTGTAACACAAAAAGTACATAAGGGAATACACATGGGGATGGATCAGAAAGGAACCATTAGAACTGAAAAGGTACCTGAGTATTTGCTAAGTCTTGAATTGTAAACAGATTAAAGGAGTTTTTGCTGCCACAGCTGGTGACACACAAGTTTATTAAAAAAATCTGATGTAAGATGAACCAGGTATTGTATTGGCATTGTATCCTAAAAAGAAAGCAAAAATGGTTCTAGGCTGGGGAACTACAGCGGAATAAGTTAAGTCAAGAAATTATGTTTATTCTCAGGTAAAGGCTGAATATCTCTCAATGGAAAGAGGGGCTTAAAAGTAATAGATTTCTGTAAGAATAATGAAGGCACAACTACTGCACATACCCACTACTGAAATTCAAGATCAAATAAAAATAAATATATAGAGGCAAATATGATGGAGACACTCATTAAACAAAAAAATTGTAAACAAAGCTTTAGAACCTTGCACAGGTATGAGAATTCAATGTGTTTTTTCAGATGGAAAATAATAAAGATTAAGAAGATATGGAACTGCAATGATTTGCTGGTGAGATGATAATAAGATATACACTTTATTAGCTAAGTTTACTATGCTGGGTAAACAGTAAAGAAGATTCAAGGAATAACAGCATTTCACAAAGGTCTTTTCAGTCCTATAATTAAAACTTGAGCAGACAGGCTCCAAAAACCATTATAGGGAAATTCTGAAAGTGAGAGGTAAATTGGATCTTATTCAAACAAGTGAAAAAGAAAAAACGTCAAGATATATAAGGCACAAATTTTACAGAAGGACGACAGGACAGGCAGATCCCTAGTTAGAAAGCTCCAGAAAATATGGAGAGAACAGCAGTCCCAGTCACTAGGGACAGTAGGTAACTAGTACAGAGAAGAGAGGAGATGATCCTGGGTAATTTTATAAAGGATGCCATCCCCCAGACTACTGATAAAGATAAATATAGTCTCTAGATAAATCCAAAAAGCAAAATTTAATTAGAAAACACAAGGATACTCCCTGGCCTTCAGGAGAGAAGCTAAAAAATTCCTGAGGAAGAAGATTAAATGTAGGAACCTCATATCTTTATTAACTGAACATAAACAAAGACACCATCCCCAGGCTCTATGAGGAATTTTAATTCCCATATTATTGGACTTAAATATTGTGATTGAGAGGAGAGTGGTATTGCCAAACAAGGGAAGAGATTTCATAAACATCATTGCAAAATATTCTTCCATACTTTTACCAAATGTCTATTTTGTTGTTTTAATTAAAAGAGTTTCCATATGGGTGAACAGATTTACATTAAAAAAGAGGTATGAAGAAGGGTAACCATCACCATGTCTACAGTTTTTTCCAGACACAGGACGTCCAGACACAGGGATCAGGGAGTATCCAGAGATGAAGGATTCAGATAGGACAGATCAGGGCTGTACCACAAGCAGCTCACTTGCATATTCTATGCAACTTTTTGTGCAAAATTTGTCTCCTCTTTAAAAGCAACATAATTTTAAACATGTAGATTTGCTGCTTCCACCTCTGGATATCAAAAGAAAATTATAAACTTGAAGTATTAGATGACCACCTCTCTGTGAAAATTCAGCAGTATGAATTTAAATGTGTTAAAATTCAATGAGATACTTGAAGAAAAAACACAAGGCTCTGTTTAAAGCTAATTATGTTAAAGTTCAGTCTAAATTAACCAACGCCCCACAACTGAAGAGAGATGTAGATTCCTTGGACAGAACATTAAAAATAGCGCAGTCTCTTAACTGAGGTGCCTGTGAATTGGCTTATCTACTTACACAGAAATACAGGTATCTGAATGATACAACGCTTCACACATTTACCAAGCATTCCCTGCCAGCTTCATCTAGATGTAAGAGTCTCAGAACACAAGATTATTACAAAGAACTTCAAAGACTGGAAGACCTTCTGCCTCCCAATACTCATCATCCATGTTAAAAGTATGGAACTCCTCCTTAAGGCCTAACAAATACATAATTCCATCAAGGATGGATCAAGGCACAGATTTCTTAGTTAGGTCACCTCTTGGGGGAGAAAGATATGGCATCTTATCAATGCATTTCTGAAATTAATACCTGAGTGAAAGTTTTCCATTTCTAGTACCTTCAAGTTGGAATTTTATAATCAAAATACAGAAACATTTCAGCAGAATTAACCTTCTGAATAACTGATGTATAGGGACTCAAGGAAACAGGGACTCCGTTTCTAAATACACACATTTTAATAAAAGAAGAAATAGATGGGAAGACTAAGCAAATGAAAAATGAGAGAGATATCCTTGGGGGATAAAAGAGCTCTGAGCAATATGTATAAATACATCACAGATGGTACCTGTCTCCAGCTAGGATTTGACATACTTTACCCAAAAATGCTGCTGTAAAGACCATGGGACAAAACCTTCTTTCACAACTTGCCTAGGTCCAAATTCTCATTGGAGGTAACCAGAAGAATAACAACTGTGATGGATGGTAATATCCTATTAGACTCGCTTGTTTGATTCCTGAATGATCCCTTTAGGGACACTCAAGAGGTGAAGAAAGAAAAATGACTGTGCTTTTGACGGCAGCAATTAGACTCTATATTTGCTTATACATAGAAGGATTAACTTCCCTATCTTCTCCCCATGGCTGAAAAACTGGTACAATAAAATATGAGATGCCCTAGTGATGAATAAAAGTATTCTGTCAGTTCAGATGGCCAGAAGAGAGGTCAGAAGAGATGTCATTCCTTATTTATTCAAGGAATAAAAATTGATCAGCTTGTAATCGAGAGACAGTGAATATTACTGGACAGGGAGGGATTATAGGGAAGGTTTTCCTTCTTCCTATTTGCATGCGACTATGTTGACAGTAGATGGGGTTCTCACTTTCTAAGAACTACTGCAAATCTTCACTACTGCCTTGGAACATCACTAACAATTTATACCTTGTATAACTGCTCTGCACGTTTGTTTTTTTAGTTGCCTGTATGAATATTTTTTGTTTTTAAAAAGTAAATGGTTAGAAAAAAAGTAAAAGCAAGGACGGGGTACCCCAGCATTCTCTTTTTGCTGAGGGGAGGGCTTGCAGTTTTTAAGTTGAAATGAACTTTGAACAAGGAAAAAACCTGTAGGTGACCACACCCTGAATATATAGCACAAATTCTGTTATGAATTATGTTGGTGTAAGGGTTTCAGATGCGCTCCTCTAACCTTCCAGAGTTAATTCACAATACTGAGAAAGAATAAAGAAGTGTGAATGAAGTCCGTTAAAGCTTGCTGCTCATCTTTTTTTTCCCTACAGTGATTGCAAGGACCACAGAAGTCATCAGAAGGATGAAGGCAGTGAAAAAAATGTTACACGCCTGTCAACAGCTCTTTGCTTACTTTGAAAATCATGTGCATCATGTATTTGTGCAGGACAACAGAGGATGGTTGTGCTGGGAGAACAAGGTAGTGCCAGATGTTTGGGAGTGGTGAAGCAGCAACTACGCATGAACTGACTAGAGATTAAAATGGGTCTGGTTTTCTATAATCTCAGTCTGTGCAGGATGCCAGGAACACAGTGGGCGTCCAGGAAACATTTGCTTTGCCTTTGTAAGCAAATAAATCTAAGATATGATATTGTTTTCTTATTATCTTACATCTCTGCTCAAAAACATATTCCACAATAGCACTACATAGAGTAAACAAAACAGCCTAAGATGAATTATTGATCATGCATCTGTATCTACTCCCTATTCTTCTAAAAGAAAAATAACTCACTTCCAGATTCCAAAAACCATCTGTCTGCTCACAAGTTGTGACAATATTGTTTTTGCTTTCCCTTTCAAATCACAAGAAAGACTGTGTACCAATCTGAAGCAGAGGCTAAAGCCATATCCAGAATGGAGTGTGACATCTCTTTTTATACTCTAAATCAGGACTAAAACCACAGATAAATGTAAATGGATTCAGCTACCAAGGAGCTGGGCTACTTGATATGAGATAAAAAGAAAACTCAACTCCAAGCAAAATTTAGTTCCTTCATCCTTTGAAACCCCTCAACAACAAAAACCTACAGAACTGGCATCAGTTCACCCTAGAAGGCTGTGGCTGCCGGCAGTTCCTCAGGACCCTGAGGACCATGCTCTCCTGCTCCTCCAACACCGAGTAACACCTCCCTATGTAAGCACGGACAAAATGGGGGTATTAGCTAGCCAAAGTCTACTAATGAGTGCACGTTACCTTCCCATTTCTCTTACTCAGCTCTCCTTGGGCCAGACAATTCCGAATGACGCTACGCACATACCTCCCTTCAGTTGGTGTGTCCCAGGTTCTACTGTGATTTGGGCACAGTAGACCTCTCGGGTTTGTACGCCTCCTCCACAAAGGACTACGTGCTTGTGGTGATGAGGGTCCTGCTGGTCAAGGAGGAGAGACACTTGGCAAGGTGTCCATTCAGAAGTCCTCCAGGCAAACCTTGGAAATAAAAGAGACCAGGTAAAACAGTTTTTTAAAAGACTATGGGTGAGGGAGTGGTACTTTATTGGATGACAAAATACAATTGGTTTAATCTTTATAGCAGCACTTCCCAGTTCAAAACAGGGAAAGTTTTGAAACATTTTGAATGTTAAATTTACAAAGGTTAAGTGTTTGGTTTTTGTCTGGAGCACTTGTGTAGAATTTTTTACATAGCACTAATCTCCAAAGTGTTCTGAAACATTAAATCATGCTGACAAACCCTTTCAGCGGGGTGTAAAGAAGGAATGAAGATTAAGAGGTTCGATTAAGTGCAAAAACTAGTTTTCAAATATGTGGCTCAAACCAATAAAGCACCTCGCTCTGCCAAGAGCTGAACACCTCACTCCGAAATGCACTCGATAGCTAAAACCCTACATACGTCAACAGAGCTCCAAGCACCGGTTGGCTTTGCTGCAGGTGACAGCTTTATAAACGCCTAGGGCACTACCAATTTCTTCAAGGGATTGGCTAAAGTAACTCAGTTCACTCCTTTTGGTTTCCAGAAGTTGTGATATACAGCAAGCTCTAGATAAAAATACTTTCATTCTATATTCAGATCACACCTACAGAGCATTAATGGTTTTCAGGGAAGGATAACGTTCTTGGGCACAGATATGTGGATGCTGTACAGACAATGGTGATTGGTGTGTACCAGTTTAAATGCTAGGAAAAACTTCTTAAAACTATAAGGAAAACAGTACTGTGTATCAGTGGAAAGCAAAAATTATTTCCCCATCATGTCTGAAAATGAAGAGCATATTTCTAATACAACAATTTTCACAGGCATAATTCATTTTGCTTCACAGGTCACAGTATCAGAGGAGTAAATAAGAGCCTGAAGTCTTTCTTCAGCTTCCCAAACACAAATCTTAAGCAATATTGTTTTTATAACCAATCTGTTCGTACTTCTGCTTCTTTATTCCTTTGTACCTCTAAATTTCATAGTTGACTTTTTTGTTACAATCTTTTTTGCTTCTGTGCAATGTAAACTACATAAAATAATCTTTTCCTTTTGTCCTCAAGATAAATGCTCTCTCCTCTCCAGAAAAAGCCTTCCGCGTTGGAATTCTGTGTATTCTCCATCGAGGGCATCCATTCTTGACTACAGCTATGGCAAGGAAACATGTGTCTCAAAATTAAATGAAAAACAAATAAATGCCTCAGAACACATCAATGTCCTTTTAACTTCTTCTGTTGTAAATATGGAAATAGTTGTCTCACGGAAGTATTTCTTAAAACAATAATTGACTAAAGAAAAAATTATTATCTGGCTTAGGCAGTCAGCTGTGAACTCTGGATCCTAAAGACTCATTTCCAGAGATGTGAGCACCTGCTTCTCCTATTCAGCATGAGCTGTGGGAGTTAAAACCTAGGAAAATTAGGCCATTGGTGATTAAAATTATGCAAAATAACTAAATCTGAGCTCAGAGATAATTAAACTTCATCAGACCTTGAATCTAAAAAAAAAATAATAATAATCCCTTTAGATATTTTAACTGGATACTGTGCTACACCACAGAGTAGTCTTTAATGAATATCAATCGGGTGTTCCAGCCAGTGCCTGCTTTGCTGTGAGCACCTTCAAGCCTCAGCCCCATCAGCCCATCTTGCTTTTTCCCAGCTGGACATGCCCTCAGCTGTCCGGAGTTTTCCAGTAACAAATCCTAACCCCTCAACATTAGTTAGTTAAAAAGTACACATTTCATGGCCATCAACAAGCCCACTACACCAGAAACGTATCCAAGGGATTGCTGTCCCACTGAGTGGGAATCCTGATGCAAGACCTTTCCAGACAGACGCAGTGACCTCGCACAGCTTTGAGCCAGACTCTTTGCAGGGATTTAAATAGCCTGGCCAATAACTGGGATAAGTTTGCCCATCTATGGACTGGACTAAAGACAATGAGGATTATCATTACTTAACAAAGAGAAACTGATTGCATAATCTCTACTTAAATTTAATCAGAAGCTTGTTAATAGCCATTAGTAAAGAATAAAGACCACTGGCTCCAAACAACCGAGTTGTTTTGTTTTTTCCTAACTTGGGCAACCTCAAGCCAGTACTTGCAAATTACTATCAATATCCACAGTGGTTTTACCACATAACTGTAATTTCTTCAATTGAACAAAGGTAACCAAAGCCACTCTGGACATTCTGTTGTTAGAGCAGACCATACCAGAGATGCACTGTACCAGCGTAAAGCTAAGGGGTCCATACCATCCAGCCACCTTGTTTTCCAGCCTCAGAGAGTGAAGAGTGTGATAACTGAGGAAGTGGAAGGGACACTATACATATGGATCATCATAGCTGGTCGGCTCCAGCATACTCTTGTAATCCCTATGTCAAAACCTGTTGGTGACAACAATTTCAAACATCAACAGATTTAACATCTCATTTTAACTCCTACCAATATCTAGTTAGATTGATGCAAACTTAGTATAGTTACAGTCCTAGCTGTGACCCATGTTTATCTACAGACCTCTTACTGTAGCTAAAAAAATCTCAGCCTTTCCCTTTGGCTTCCCAATAGGCTTGTTCCACTTTTTGACAATACTTTTTGAGTTACAGGAGGTCTAGCTACTTCCAAAGACTGACAGATCCCATTGCCAAAGGTTAGAGGGTTAGCTAGATTGTGTCCTAAATGGGGACCTGAATCCAAAGCCAGTTATACCAGTCTGCTTAAAAAAAATAGGCAAGCAAAAACTACTAATTTAGAACCAATACAGTAAATGCTTGGGGTATCTGAAGCACTGGAGAGAGGCCAGTGGAGGCTACAAAGATGATGAAGGCACTGGAGCATCTCTTTGATGAGGAAAGGCTGAGAGACCCGGGTCTGTTTAGCCTAGAGAAGAGGAGACTGAAAGGGGATCTTATCAACGCTCATAAATATCAACAGGGTGGGTGACAGGAGGATGGGGCCAGAATCTTTTCAGTGGTGCCCAGTGACAGGACAAGGGGCAACGGGCACAAACTAGAACACAGGAAGTTCCATCTGAAGATGAGGAAAAAACTTCTTTCCTGTGAGGGTGCTGGAGCCCTGGGACAGGCTGCCCAGAGAGGGTGTGAAGTCTCCTTCTCTGGAGATGTTCAAAACCCACCTGGATGCCTTCCTGTGCAACCTGCTCTAGATGTACCTGCTTCAGCAGGGGGGTTGGACTAGATGATCTCCAGAGGTCTCTTCCAACCCTGACCATTCTGTCACTCTGTGATGTAGGAGGGAACTTGGTTGGTAAAGCTGAACAGCTTTCTACTTCATAAGCAGCACTCCAAATTTCTCTGCTAAACAGAGTCAGCTAAGGGTTTCTGTTACTATCAAGGCAAAGTGTTCTCTCACGTTGTGACACTCAACTGTGGCCACAGAAGTGTCCAATGGCACAGCTGGAGAACCAAAGCTTCACCATGGATAGTTCCTGATCCGAGGGGAGAAAACAAAGCTGTCCAGCTGAATGGAGGTCATCTCTGCATGCCCAAGACCAGTGAAGGTGAAAGGGCTGAAGAGTGACATTGCTACCACAAAAGTGTCACTCCAGCAGCCTTCCAACACAGTTCACTGCATTTCTTTACAAGTCTTTCCTATTTCACAGTAATGCCTTATCTTTAATTGGGATACATAACGGGCCTCACTTACAAAGTGATACCATCACACCCATATCTAAGCAGTTACCTTAAGCCTTTTGAAAAAATTGGTTCTTAAAACTTTCCCATTTTCCATCATTTAACTTCTGAAAAGCTTTGAATTTCCAATAAAGCAGAGGGTTGGTTTTCTTTTTTCTAAAACCCTGTCTTGTAACATAGCAACCACAACCAAAATGAAAGATTTAAAGACATAATCATAATTCTGGAAAATCTATCTATTCACAGTGAACATGAAAGCTACACATCAAGGATAAATATGATATAAGACATTGTTTTAAAGCTGATGATTCAGTGACAGCTGTGCAACAAACAAGTACTCAATATCTTTCCGATTTATAGTAACCTCTCGGTCTCTTTAGTCTATAGGACTTATGCTCTTAGCGCTTCCACAAGCTTTATACCTGTATATACCCATTCACTTTAATTGAACTATCCCAAATTTATATCACAATAAAAAAAAGTAGAATCACCTCCTGCGTATTTAAGCTTTTTAAGTGCTTAATCTAATCCCTTCAGAACAAATAACCAAAAGTAAAACAAAGCACAAAGCTCTGGAGTTGTACATGCAGTTAAAGTGTTTTATTTTCTTGCATTTAAACTATTGATTAAAGAAGTTATTGTAAAGTTCAGTCATAAAATTAAAAGGCCTTCCCATTTAAGAGCAAATTTACACTGATTGTCATGGGCCTGGGATGGGACCTTTAACTTGTAGCCTTGCCATGGAGATAGAGGTAATATTTAACAAAACAGTTTTGAAGATAAAGGTATTTTTCCCCCCTCTGGATCCTTTTCGGAGTCTGGAATGTAACTTCACCCATCTCTCCCTGCTGAGTACAATGCTGCAAGCGCCACCTCTTGAGCTGCTGCTTTTCTGTGTTGGTGGTTGCAGTACACAATATGGACCTTCATTCCATCATGGGGTGCTATCTGTCCCTGCATTAAAATACAGCCTCTAAAGAATCACCTTCCTTCTCCTGCTCAGAGCTGTGGCCACTTTCTGGTCTATGTCCTCACCCATTTTCTTTGCCATGCCTGGAACGTGCTTCGGAAAATTCTTGCCCAAAGAATAAAGCTAAAGGAAAGCCAACTTGTCTTAAAATCAACCAAAAAATAGCAGAGAGAGATTTCCAGGAACTGGGAAAGTAAATCGGACTCATCTTAAAAGATTTTAAGACTAATCTGATTAGGCAAACACAGGCCAGAAAGAAAGAACAAACAGTTTGTCTTGAGACCTGACAAATGAAGGAGAGAGTCTTTTATTGCTAATACTGAATCTCCTTAAATTCTTCATCTTCTTGTAAGGGGAAGAAAGAAAAGATAACGGTTTCTTAAGCCCCAGCAAAGCCACAGATGAGATGGCATATATTTAAGAGGAAAAAAAAGCATAATCTTTCTAGGTATTACACTGCAAAGAGAATATACTCAAATAAGGAGAACAGGAGCATCAAAGACTTCTTATATTCCTTCACAGGGATTAACGCTACATCCCTCTATATCTGAAGTACTTCCAGTACCTCGGTCACCAATTCCCAAACACCATCACAAAATCACCAGGCTGTAAACTATAACATGGACCTATAACATCCTCTACCAGCTGCTGACACTTAAATAATTTACTTTAGAATGTTTGACTACTGTTCATTAATACAAAATTCTGGCCCCCATAGCCTTACACCTGGCAGACTCAGAACACACACTGCGATGTTACAGCTTGTAGTTCCTGCTTGTTTCTGCAGAATTGAATAGCCGAATACAAGTCTACTAACCAGGTGCTACTGTAAAATTCTCCTCAACACTGTGTAGTATGAGAAGGTCACAGCCTACCCCTTGCATTTCGAGATATTACATCCCTAGAAATAACAATTAACTAAATACCAGGTAGATTTTTTTTTTTTCCTTCAATATTTTTACTTAAGTGGCTCTATTAACCTGTAAGTCTAATGTTATTTTTCTGGGCTAGCTCATTAGGCAGTTTATCCTAGCTCACACAGATACTTCACCAGAGGCGCTGCCTGAAGAACTGAAGGTGTGCAGATGTCACAGGATGGGGACGGTTTAAAAGTTAATAGGCTCATGAAAACTGGGGCATAATAGCAATATACTGAAAGAATAACAGGTTTCCTTCTGTATCAAGAGCAGCACCACAAGAAACTTATCAGTGTTATGCAGGTTCTCACTTTTTGGGCTCTCCTGGCTCTACACCAAGCAAGCTATAATCATTTGTACTTTAATATGGTGCAATGTCAAAAAGTCAATGACCTGAGGAATCTAGGGACAGACACATGTCTGTTCACTCCCTGATTAAATACCAGCTGGTTCACCCCAATCAGGTGTCACCTGCACCCACACTCCTATAGAAAATCAGCAAGACAATGTGTTAATCTATTGTCTTTGAAATTGATGTGCGTTTGGGCAGGAGTGAAAAATCACTCTGTAAGAGCCTTTTCGTAGGATGTAATCAGGCAAGAGAAATTTTTTTTATACCTCCTCTCTTCTGCTAGCAGGGTGCATAAAAATGATCAGCATTTGATTTTGAATGAACTCAACAATATAGAGACACTTTTACAGGTTACGCCTTCCTAAGAAATGTATCTTGCAAAGGCTTTATCAAAGGTTTTGGCAGTACCTGGCAAAGCCCCAGAAATTCATGACTTGAGCACTGAACAGACCTCCTATTAAACACACTCATTCACAGACAGGGAGATTTCTCTGCATGCATATAAAAGTTTATCAATCTTGAAGCATTTTACAGTCAATCTCAGAACATGTCACATGAAAAATTAAGTAATATTTTCTTTTCTTTACAAAGCAAACTAGCAACCCCCTATACTAGCCTGGCCAAGCACAAGGGCATGGATTTGAAGACCAGAAAGGCGAGATCCTCACCTTCTTCCAGAACAAAGATTACCATAAACCAAGTAAGCACTCAGGGACTACAAAGTTTCCCATTTCAAGAAGTACCCAGAGGGAAGCCGAGTAAAGTCCAAGCTATTAGGTCTAATCAGTTCCAATTTTCCTTAAGGAGGAATGGGATTTTTTTTATGGGGACATGAAGGGGAATTATTAAATCTTACGGAAAAATTACAATTTCAAAGCTAATAAAAGCACAGCCATGGAGATCTGCCCAGTCTCTGTGCAGCTGAGGAAATTCTCCGCAACAGTAATCAGTATGAAAGCCCCTTCAGAGAACAAGAATATCTGCTCTCAATTTTTTAAATATGAAAATATAAGCTGTAGCAGGTGTAATTGAAATTTATTTATATATGTAAGTGTAATTATCATAACAGCAATAACGATAATAGCAACAATTACAAGAATATTACTAACAGTAAATAATAGCGCTAATCATAGTTAACAATGATCAAATCAATGATCTTTTAGACACAGAGAGTAAGCATGACATGCGACCCTCTCCATACAGAGACACTGAGCGAAGAAGCTTTGCTTTGCACAAGACAAGCATCAAAAAGAAGTTTCTTTGCTTCTTTACTTCAGAAAACCGGGCTGAAAGCACTTGCTCTACCTGGGACAAGGCTGCAGCAGCTCTTTTCCTCCCACGCTACACGCTTCCCTCTCTTCCAGCTCCGGGCATTGCTTTCCAGCACCCACTGCCACGCTCCGCACGCTGCGACGCCGGCTCCGAAAGCCCGGGGTGAGATCTCTCCAGCCGCAGGTCCGCGAGCAGGCGCTCCACGAGGACCACTCAGATGTTTCGCAGTCTCTAGCGATGACACAGGACTTGAAGGTCAAAGGGAGAGGATCTTGCACACACTGGCTGCGATAAGAACACAGTAAAACAGCAAATCGGATCTTGCTTAATAAATTTCTTTTTTTTTTTTTTTCTTTTTTTTCAAACCAAATCCTCAAATATTGCAGCCTAAATCAGGGTCTGGCCTCAGACTAGCAGAAATCCATGGTCATGTGGGGTAAATCAGAAAACCTGCAGCAACACCAATGCAATGAAATTAAGAGGAGCTGTAATGCAGTGCACATAACACATTTCCAGGGAGTTTTGGGTGCAATCTTGCGTGCCGAGTAGTTTGCAAATAATATACCTCATTTATTTCAAGTTAAAGCAGATGCAAAAGGCACTATATTTGCTCCTGCGCAGTTAAAATTTCATAGATTATCCAGAACTGAAAATAAAAGCCAAGCCCAAGAGAAATACTGCCACTGGTAAACATTCCCATCACCCCACACACAGGACTGTCTGTCCATCCATCCAGGTGTGAGCATGTCCTGCTGAGTAACTCTGCTCTTTAAAATAATTAGTCACAAGCTCTTAAGAAAAGTGTTGGTTCTGTAAGGCAACAAATGCTGTCAAACAAGGTCAGAGGTTTTCCAAACTTGACAAAAACCACCATTTGGCAACAGCAGCTCTATTTTGGGACTCAATTAATCCTGCTGACATGAGGACACGATCCTCATTCATTCTGTATCAAGACACCACACAAGGCCAAATACAATGGAAAACCAAATTTTAAGAGTTGCCAACTGTTTGAGATTTGGTATCAAGATAGAAAGTCCCAGAATAAAATTTTTAAGAGTTCCAAAGTTACAATAGCTTTTCACAGTATGGAAATATATGGCAAATGAACTAAATACTTCTGGGAGGAGAAAAACCTCCAGACTGAGGTCACCATCCTTCCTTACTCCTCTGCTTCACTCTCATCTAGTTGACGGCTGAAAGTGCACTCTCCTGGGAGGGACCCCAGAGGGCACCTCACCACAGCTGGAGGTCAGCCAGAAAGTCACCACTCATCTCCCAGAACAGGAGAAAAATTGTCTCTGAAAAACCTTAGATAGCTGAGGTAGCAGAGTGGGAAAGGATATACTGAAATAGGACTGCGGTACCTATGAGCAGAGACATCACTGCAGCACCACCAAGGATGGGATAGGACAGAAAGAGATGAAACCCAGGAAAAATGAGTCACCAGGAGAAAAAGAACCAAGAATTTCTACCTAGGGCTATGCTGATGATACAAATTGGTCACCGAAATTAAGACCATACATGAACTCAGTGTGAACTCTCTCTAAATTTGTCTTCGCGAGCTCTAGTTGCTCATGGTCAAGCTTTTGCCAACTGTAAGGAGCAAATACATGTACACTTAAAAGGTGTGAAATCCAGAGTTGCTGCCAGGGAACCAGCCATTAACTCACTTGGTATTATTTATAGCACAGTTTGACTAACCTAACTCTCTCTAAAGAAAACAGTCTGGGGCAATCATTTCAGGATGGCCGGGCAGTCTCATAAGGGGAGCAGAGAAGATAAAGGACATTCAGTCGCTTCTCCTCCAGTCTAGAAATTGGTCCCATTTTCACAAAGGTCAAGAGGAATATTCCCACTGATACCTGATCACGTCTGACTAGACCCTCAACTACCAGCAAAATACAGCATTTAGTAGCTTAAATTTATACCTCAAAACTAAAAAAGTGATACAACTTTTTGTCTCAGTTTCTTCATCCAGAATAAAACTCATTAATCTCACAGGTACTGGGAGGATTAATTTACTAAGGTTTATTTTAACAACTTCATAAAGCAGACACAACTTGTGATATAGCCCCCTTAAAATACAATTGTTTGGAACATTAGCTTAGTCACATGAATGGTAACTTTACTTCCCTTTTAATACTTTTTCTGTAGTTATCAGGTGAGCCATCTGTGCCAGTACATTAACAAGAATTCCTGATTCTGAGTAGGTAAAATAGTACCACATACAAACCACTGTCCTAACTGACTGTACTAGAAAAGTAGAGTTTCTCGAGGAACATAGCATGGAGGGTAACTGATTCAACATTTTAAAAGAGCGATCAAAACTGTGCATTCAGGTACCAGTATGAAAACCCCAATCCATGTTTGGGGTTGCGCCACTGCAAAGGAGACCTTAGTCTGGCCTCATCTTTACTGAAATACCAAATAAAATGAAGCCTTTAAAAATCTGACTTGAGGTCTTCTTTAAAATTAATATTGCCAGCCCCAACTGCTAGCTAGACAATACCCACAATACCTCTCCTAAAGGATTCAAATCTACGCCCACACTCCAGCCACAAAGACATCTCTGCCCAGCAATCATCCTTGCTATTTGCAAAAGCCCTGAAGTACACGAAGACTGAAAAGGTTGTTTCTTTCCCTGAAAATCCCTCCACCGCTGCTACTCCAACAGGCTAAAGAGATAACTTCATTGACCTTAAGGTGAACAAGACGTGGAGCTGGTAATTTCCATCCTTCTGCTGGAGGTGGTGGTTCTGAGGGAGAATTACATGCAACCGCCAACAGAACACAAATCTAATTAACTTGTACCTACTCATTCAGAGCCTCAAAGTCAAATTAACTGTGACACTGAGCAACACAAAGACAAATGTAAAAACACGCTTTTGCATGAAATTCAGACACAGTCTTTCATGTCAACAGATGTATTTAGGACAACCCAATACAGATAAAGCCCAGACGTGCCAGACACTCACTGATCTGAGGCTGCAAACCAGGTGTGTATTTGTGCTGCTGTGGCTGTATCCGAATGGGCAGGGAGAGGAAGGTGGTCTTGGGGACAGGAGACAATACATAAACCCTGTTTTTAAACTAACTTTCCATGTATTAATCTATCAGGTTGGATCTTCTTCTCGGGAGTCAATCTGGTAACTGTGATATAGTAGGGTACTTATGCGATTGATGCTTTTTTCTATGTTGCACACTGGGATTGATACTGTAAAACTACAGGAATTGTTTTACAACCTACGTTACGTTGCTTGTGGCGCAAGATGGACCCGTTAGTTAGCAGCAGCACGAAGCTTAACTCATTCAAATGGCAGAGAACCCTCTTACTTCCTCGTGTACTGAAGGGCAATAAACCACATATTTAAAAAACCCACTAAACCAAAGGAAATCTACTCATGCCTCTTTTACACTCACATAGTCCTGCAGCAAACAAGCAGAAAAGGAAAAAGAGAAGGAGGAAAAGCTGTCCCATGTACCACTCTTACTGCGGAGCTCCAGGTCCCCCATGACTGCGTAACTGTGGGCCACTGCCAACGGAGGAGCCCTGCTCTTATCACAGAATGGTTTGGGTTGGAAGCGACCTTTCAAGGTCACCTAGTCCAACCCCTGCAGTGAGCAGGGACATCTTCAACCAGATCAGGTTGCTCACAGCCCCATCCAGCCTGACCTTGAATACTTGCAGGGATGGGGCTTCTACCACCTCTCTGGGCAGCCTGTGCCAGTGTCTCATCACCCTCATTCCTCCATCTCCAGCACACTCTCCACCACCTCTGCTACAGGACACAGAAACTGTGCAGCCCCAAGCTGAACCATACAGCTTCCTGTTCTAGACAAAAAGTAACCCACCAAAAAAATAATACATTTTCCAACAGCTCAGTGTATCTATGCTACATGTCTTACAGTCACACAGTCAACACTTCCAATGCAAGGAAATTAGTGGGAACAGGTCTATCAGCAG